GCTGGCAATGGGCTGGCTGGGGAAATCGTGTTGTTCTGGAGACGGTCGTGTAATTCAAACAATGTTCCCTAAAAAAAAATTGTGCTATCGCGAAAACATGTTAAGAGGGCACGTGTTAAATGAGGAATTACTGTATACAGAATATTGAAAGGTAAACACTTCCAAGACTTATAAAATGCCATCTTTTTAAAAAAGTGTGCCTAATGTTTTTTTATTAACTTCCTGAAAGAGGGTAATGTATAATAGGGATTCCCCTGTTTTGAAAACTTTTATATCATATTTTAAACTGGATTATTGGGTTTCCTAGTGTTTGAGAAGGAAGGCACATAACCCAGAAAAATTGAAGTTATAAAATGAGTTTCTAGGGAAAATGACTACATGACAACAAATAGCAGGACCCAAACCCGTCTAGCATATTCAACCCTCAATATTTTTTTCATAAAAATGCTAGCAGGATCTTACTTTATAAGTGGCAGCAAGAAATCCTGCTATTCTTACAGCAGTAGTTCTCCAAAGCCTCATTAATAATATTTGACAGCTCTTTTCATCTTAAAAAGCTTATAATAGATTGGCTAATCCTTTCAAAGCAGTTAAGTATTTTCCCCAACTGTAAAATGGGGGAACACAGAGGTTGTAACTGTCCTAATATCATAAAAAGAGTATCTGAGTGACATGGACATTGTTTCTTGTGCACAGTTAGTTGTCCCTTCTGACTACTAGATCATAATTCTTTGTCTTTGTAATATAATAGTACTAATGAAAATAAATACCATTTTTATTTTTATTATATAGTCTGGCATTGCTAAATACAAATACACTTGGGCAGTAAATCTATGGTAATAGTTGCCAGGGGCAGGGTGGGAGGGAGGAAACCTTGTGGTTTATCCTTCAGAGGCTGGGCAATCTACATTGGTTCCTGTGTCTCTCTACTTGCTCTGGATTATTCATTCCACTCCAAGGTGATGTAGCTCCTAAGAAACCATGCTGCTAGGTTTTCCCACCATTGAAGGGTCCCTGTAGAAAAGGTTATAAGAATCTGAATATTGGTTATTTAACCTTGTTGAATTTATCAAGTATATGCCTCCCTTTCATTGCCTGTTTCTGAAAGGAGATCACCAGGGAGACTGACAGCTAGGAGCACTACCACATTGTGCATGTAGTACAGGTGTCTTCTACAGTAGATCAATTAGTCTAGGGACTTTTGAGACATCACTCGTTTCATTTACATGCAGCTTCAACAATAAAATACCAATGCTGCTGCTGTTTATTACAAACACTTGCTACAGTAACACATGTTTATGACTTAAATGAAACTGCATGCTAGCTTGCATCTTTGTAGCTAGAGGTGCAAGATGTTTTGATCTCTTGCGTCCTCTCATCCCCAGTGAAATTCTTGCTTCAACTGCTATTTGACCTTTAGAATAGGAGTAAACACAATTATGCACAAATATCTATGTTTATCCAAACAGTGTCTTAAAAAAAAAACAATAGATCTGTTGATATCATAGTGATTAGGGTCTTCATGTTACTAGGCCTGGCACAAGGAATAGCAATGTGAAGGTCTAACCTGTAAGCATCACCCTGAATGGTTAATGCTTACTGGTTCCAATTAACTGGTAGGGGCTGGACCAGCCCACTTGCCAAAGGTTGCATGTTGGCTCCCCAGGAATGGGGGGAGGAGGGAAAGAAGACCGGGAGCCAATGCTTAAAAGCCAGCTCCCCACCCCATGCTGCTGCCTCTGATAGGCATCAGTGTGAAGGGTGAGGGGGACAGGCGGGAGCTGATATGTGTGGGGAGTCTGGTTCCAATTAACTGGTAGGGGCTGGACCAGCCCACTTGCCAAAGGTTGCATGTTGGCTCCCCAGGAATGGGGGGAGGAGGGAAAGAAGACCGGGAGCCAATGCTTAAAAGCCAGCTCCCCACCCCATGCTGCTGCCTCTGATAGGCATCAGTGTGAAGGGTGAGGGGGACAGGCGGGAGCTGATATGTGTGGGGAGTCAGGCAGTGGGGGGGGGGGGGGGGGAAAACACCAAGCGC